AAAAAAAAAAAAAAAAAAAAAAAAAAAAAAAAAAAAAAAAAAAAGGGGATGTCTGCATTTTAAATACCTAAATTTATAAATGCTCTTGTTTATTCTTAGGCCAGTGCCACAGACAAGTATTCTTCTGCACAATGTTACCCAACCAAGAAGAGCCACGCACAGATACGGTGAATGATGTTTAGAAATTTTAGGGTTTGGTATTGTCACGATCATCCACATCATCCAAGTGGATGATCTGTGACTGCCTTGTTTGGCTGGGTTTGTTTTTATTTGTTTGTTTGTTTGTTTTGAGACAGGGACTCACCGTTTAAACCAGGCTGACTTCAAGCTCTTGGCCAACCTGGCTCAGCCTCAGAGCACTGCTGGGGTTTTAGGCACGTGCCACTGCACCCAGCTTTGTGGCTGTTTCCCGGACAGAGTATGGACCAGAGTGGACATCACTGACCTTGTGTGGCAGGGCTGAGGACCACCATGCTTGTTAGACCTGAGAGAGACTGAATAAATAAAACTATCTTGACTGCAGAGCATTTGAGAGCACTGGGAAAGTTAGAAGTGGTGGAAATTCTTCCACCCTCACTTCAAATTCCAACAGGCCCTTTTGTACAGAAGGGCTTGGTTTCCAGCCAACCACTAGATTTTGAGCCTTTCCACCTTGTCTCATAGATATCCTTTTTTTTTTTTTTGTATTGGGATTGAACTCGGGACCTTGCACTTGCGAAGCAGGCAAAGGAACCACTGAGCTCAGTCCTCGGCCCCTCATAGATATCCTTTGACCTCTAGTCAAGAGCCCGGGACTTTGGGGCAGGGCAATTTAAAAGATGGCTTTCTAAGTCTTGTCAGGCATGGGTCTGAAAATATGGGCTCTGCTAGCTTTGTGACCTTGGACCCTTGGCTTTGCCTCCCTGTGCCTGGGACATTAGGGCATGGGCGTGACAGATGTGCCTGGAGCGCCTACATGAGATATGAGTGTGATAACACAAGGAAGAGGCTCCCCACCCAGTCTGTGCTCAGGAAAGGGAGGATTCTTTGTGTTTTGTTTGTGTTATTCGAAAAAGTGGATTACAGGAAGTTGCCAGCAGCCTTCTCTGCAAATTCCTGTGTGTGTTCTATGCCTGCCTGATGATGGTGGCAGCACAGGTTGTCAGGAAGCAGCCGCCAGTTTCCTGCTGATTAACCCAGTTCCTGGAGGGCCCTCCTAACAGCAAGAGAGGCCTGGCTACCTGACTGGACTTCCTCTCTGGCTTCCACCTCCTGGCTCTCTGTCCTTTCCTTCTGAGAGTCCTGTTTACCTCCTAGGGCCGGGGCACCCTTTCTGGCTCAGAGCTTTGTTATGTTCATAGGTGGGGCGCCTGGGTTCCAGCTGCCTTGGTTTGCCTGCAGGTGCACTTCCTTTACACACCTGGCGCCTGTGGGGCCTTAAGCTGACTGTCAGTTTGCCCCTAGGTTGGGTTTAAGAGATTGGGATAATTGAATTGAAGCCCTTGGAGGTGAAGTCTTCAGCCCTGTGCCTACTTGGAGAAAGAGGCCACAGTGTCTCTCGCTGCTGGTGGAAGGGGCGCTCTGGGCAGGGGGAGAAGCCCACACAACACTGGGATTCGTGGTCCCTGGCCTGCCCTTGGCTCTTGAGTGGAGAAGCGGCAGCACTGCTGGGGAGGGGAGAGGCAGCGCCGGGCTGGGCCATAGCTGTGGTGTCAGGCTGGATCTGCTTCGCCACTTCACATGGAGACTTGGCAGCCACGCTGCAACCCTGGTGAGTGGTGTGGGGTCGAGAGATGGGCTGTGGACTTTGTCACAAACACCGCAGCTCTCAGCCTACAAAGAGCTAGGGATGTGCTGTGGCTTCCTGCCCGGCTCACACACATCTCCCCTAGGAGCAGATGTGCCCAGCAGCTCAGGATGTGGACTCGCTGCAGGCAGGTCTCCCGGGACAAGGTGGGCGTCAGCGGCCGTGGTGGCCGGGGCTTCCCAGATAGGTTGGGACCTGTCTGTGTCTGGCGTCTGGCCTGCACGGCTCCACCTTGCACACCTCTGGTGCATCAGGCCCAGCCCCTCAGCTGGGGGAAACCTGCGTGTCCTAATACCTGGTGGCTGAATCAACAACATGGGGACGTGTGTTTGGATAGCAAACAGCAAGCAGCAGCTGGTCCAGCCCACTGCCTTCCTCCTTCCTTCTCGCCAGCCAAAATGTCCTCTGCTGAGGTCAACCAAGACGGCTACAGAATATTCAGGGCAGGTGCAAGATGAAAATGTGGGCTGCGTGTTTGGAAATGAGTAAGAATTACAGGTTGGTGGCTGCAGAGCACGAAACCAAGTGGGGCCTTCCAAGTGTCCCTGCGTAGGCCTGGTGACGCACTGGTGATGCTGAGATGGCACAATCGGCTTCACTGGCAAACAAGAGGGATTCAACCTGCAAAGCAGCTGTTGGGTCCCAGGCCCCCTGTCCTAAGGCCGGGGTGGCCTCCACTTCCAAGCAAAAGGAGCTTCAACTTCTTTTTGTGCCCTACCTTTTCCCTTGTCTTTGTAAACTCTGAAAGCTTTGAGGCGCCTCCCATCCTGCCTTCCTCTCCCTTTACCCTTGCCACTATCCCTCCCCGCTCTGCTTCTCTCTTCCTCTTTCCATTGCTTTTATCTGGGGGAAAACCCTTTACCCTTTACCAGATTGCGAGTAACATTTCCCACCCATTCATCCAGTGCCACTCGATCTTAATGTGCCTTTGAATGGCACCAGGCTGGGGCTCCTTGGGTTTCTGAAAACTCTCTGAAGTGTCTCGAGCCAGTGTCTTTCCTGCTGGGGGACAAGGGATGTCCCTTCCATGGCCTCTGGCTCTGTCCAGATGGTCTCTGCCCATTGGGAGCCTGGAATGGATTCTCATTGTTAGCATTTGTCACTCACCACCTCCTCCCCACATTCAGCTGTCAGCCTTACTGGTCACAGGAAAGAAAGCCTGCTCCCTAGTGACACCCATGATCCCTAGTGACAGCACAGAGCTGGCCCTCATTCCCAGGGACAGCAGATTCTGTGCAGTCCTCAAGCAGAGCAGGGCGTGTGAAAGGGTTAAGCAGATAAGCCCCAGGCAATGTCCTGGCCTCTACACAGAAGAAGCTTCAGAGCAGGCATGTATAATCCTGGCACTCTGGGAGGCTGAGGCAGGAAGATCGAAGTTCTAACCCTGTCTCAAAATAAAAAACTAAAAAGTGCTGGGAGTGTGCTCAGTGGTAGAGGATGGCCTAGCATGCCCAAGTCCGTGGATTCAGCCCCCAGTACTGGAGGGGGGAAAAAAAAAGCAGGTAACTTTGCTTTCTAAAGCCCTCCTCTGGCCCTCTGTGTGGCCTTCAGGGCACTGTGCCTCAGTGACTCCATCTCCAGCCACTGTCCTCAGTTCCACAGATAGGAGAATTCTGCCCTGTGGAGAGGGGCTTGGGTTGCTGAAGAGACTCCTAAGCCACACTGAAAATTGTAGGCCTTCCTCAAAGGGAAAGGGGAGCAGCTTAAGGAAGGGATGCCTCCAGGGCTGGAAGGCATGCCCGGCACCTGCCTGGGCAAGGAGGTGAGGTGTTTTTGGTTTGTTTATTTTTTGAGAAGGGTTTCACTATGTAGTTGAGACTGACCTGGAACTCACTATGTAGCCCAGGGTGGTCTTGAACTCACAGTGATCCTCCTTCCTCAGCCTTCTGAGTGCTGGGATTACAGTCATGCACCACCATGCCCAGCATAAGTGAGGTCTTGATCCTCAGAGCTCCTTTTTCCTTCAAGCACTTGAAGGGGCTTTTCACTGTCCGATGTCCTAGGTAGGCCCAAACCAGGGCAGCAGGAGCTGGACCGGACACTCATTGCTTTGGAAAGGGTGCAGCCTGACTGCCACTTCTCTCTATGGAGGGAAGGCAAACCTTCCCTGTCAGTAGGTGACACCCAGACAGAGAGAAGTAGGAGAGTGTTGACCAGAGGTGGACCTCTGGAGAGTCAGCTGGAGGGCCCCTTGTTCAGAAGGGGACACCATAGCCTGGTAACCAGCGAATACCACCATCACCTGGCTAGAATGGGATGAGGGCTGAGCTGGGTGTCACAGCGGACGTGAGCTCCAGCATGTGCTTTATAGTTCCTGCCCTTGGAGAAGAATGTGGGGTCTTGCTGTAGTGACAGCCCCAATCATGGAGGGTTCACTGTGGACACTGCTTCTGGGGCCTGTAGGGAAGGGCCCCGGGAAGGCCGGATACGGATGTGAAGGAGCCGCCAAGGGCCCGGTCCACCCAGCAGGCCTGGCAGTCTGCACCCTTCGGTCACTATGCGGTGCCCAATGGTGGCTTCCCCTCCACCCACAGCAGCTGGGCCCTTGGCTGGTATTATTCCTGGTGGCCTTTTCCGTGTTCACCTTAAGGGTTGGGAGCACCACTGTCAGCTCTCTTCCTCACTTACATGGCTGGCTTTCTTTTTTTCGTAGCACTGGATATTAAACCCACAGCCTTCTCACTGAGCTACATCCTCAGCCCTTTTAAAATTTTTTACTTTGAGACAGGGTCTTGCTAAGTCACTAAATCCCGCGGGCTGGGCTCCAATTTAAAATCCTCTTGCCTCAGTCTCCCAGGGTGCTGGGGTTACAGCCATGCATCACCACACCCGGCCACGAGCATGGCTGTCTGCACTGGGGACAGGTTGGGGAACAAACTAAAAGCTTGGCCCCATAGACCCAAAAAACATGCTGCAACTCACCCACATGGTGTGTTTCCTCATGAGTTTTTATTTTGAAATGCCAGACTCAACAGAAAAGTGAAGAACCTGTGTCGGATTCACCTACTGCTTCCATTTGGCCATGTTTGCTTTCCCTCACCCTGGCCCCTGTTGCTTGATTCTTCTGTGTCATTGGATAGTGAGCTATCCCAGGTGTGACGGTGCTTCCCTCCCCCACTAGTACTTCAGCAGTTATCTTTCAGGGGTGAGGATGTCCCCCTTAGGAAACGATGGTAAACATCATCATACCTAAATAATAATATCGCCTGATGGGTTGGAGGTTTAGCTCAGTGGCACCAGGGCCTGCCTCGCAAGTGCAAGGTCATGAGTTCAATCCCCAGTACCAATAATAATAATAATAATATCACCAGATATATAGTCCTGCTCAAGCTTCTCCAGTTGACCTCCATAAATGTCTTTGTGGCTCTTTCTGTGATCCAG